GGGGGGGGGGGGGGGGCTGGGCTCGCAGCCACCTCAGACTCACCTCCCCTGGGGCACCACCTGGCCGTCGCTTCCGGCTGGATGCCCTGCTGCGGCGCATTCGACGGAAGGACTGGCGTAGGGACTTCTTGAGGGACTTCACTCGGGACAGCGGGCCCTCAAAAGCTAGTTGGTCGCTGGGGTGCAGAGTGCATCTGGAGCGGGTGGACATTGGCTGTCAGTGCTGCCGAGGCCTGGGGGTCCTCAGCAGAACCCTCTCCCAGCCCTGGCCCCCAGCCTTGCTACTCACTTCACAAACACCTGTCGCCGCTGCTGGTGGTCAAAGAGGCCAAAGCCATGGCTGGTGCCAAAGGCCACAAGCCGCCACTCTGAGTGCAGGGCCAAGGAGGTGACCACAGCCGGGGGCTGGCACTGTACTAACACGAAGGGCTGGAAGCCAGGCTCAAAGCGCACGGGTCCCGAGCGGGTGGCTAGGCGCTCGTGCCCCTTCCAGCGGTAGCCATCCTGGTCCTGCAGTAGGTCGGCCTCCACCTGCTCCACAGTCTGCTCCGCCGCCTCATCATTCAGCTCCAGCACTAGCACCTGGCAGAAGGCAGGTGGTTAGCAGGCACCAGCAAAGAGGCGGTAGGACTTCAGGAATCCTGACAGGACAGTGAAGGACCTGGGACCCACGTTAAGGCCTAGGGCCTAAGCAAGGCCCTAATTCTGATTTCTGGAGGTGGAACCACTACCCCAGGGACTTTTTTTTTTTTTGAGACAGAGTCTCAATTTATCACCCTCAGTAGAGTGTATCATAGCTCACAGCAACCTCCAACTCCTGGGCTTAGGCGATTTGCCTCAGCATCCTGAGTAGCTGGGACTACAGGTGCCTGCCAGAATGCCCAGCTATTCTTTTGTTGAAGTTTGGCCAGGCCCAAGGTTCAAACCCACCACCTTTGGTATATGGAGCTGGCACCCTACCCACTGAACCACAGGCGCCACCCTCCAGGGACTTTTTTTTTGGAGACAGAGTCTCACTTTGTTACCCTTGGTAGAATGCTGTGGCATCCCAGCTCACAGCAACCTCCAACTCTTGGACTGAAGTGATTCCCTTGCCTTAGCCTCCCAAGTAACTGGAACTACAGGTGCCTGCCAGAACTCCAGGCTATTTTTTTTTAAATTTATTTTTGTTATTTATTTTTTTTACGGGCTATTTTTAGAGACAGGGCCTTGCTCTAGCTCAGGCTGGTCTCAAACCCATGAACTTAGGCAATCTACTCGCTTGGCCTCCCAAGTGCTGGGATTATAGGCATGAGCCACCGTGCCCGCCCCAAGGACTTTCCTCTTGATGGGCTCAAGCAATCCCATCCATTGGGAAGAGAATGACAGGATGTGCTCCAGATGACACCATCAGGCAGGTGCCCAGGAGGCTGTCCCCCAGTCCACCTGTCCACTCCTGCCCTGGTCCCCACCCTGTGTAGCCTGCTACCTGTCCTGCCGTGCCAGCCACAGCCAGGTAGCCACTGTATTTGCACAGGAAAATCTTCTGGATGCCCAGCCGGGGGTCATCGCTGTAGGGGTCAAAGGAACCCACCTGCGGAGGAGAGGGCCCCTGTGAGTGGCCACAGGGGCTGAACCCAGCCTGTCCCACCCTCCTTGGTTCTCAGACTGGTGGCCTCACCTTGCGGAGAGGGGGCCACTCGTCCTCGCCCTGGGCATTGAGGTTCTCACTGGGGTCCGTGTCAGTGAGGAACACGCGCACTGTGCTGAGCTTGTAGAGCAGCCGCAGGCACACGCCAGAGGCGTCCCAGAACCGCACTGTGCCATCCTCATGCCTGTGGGCAGAGCCGCCTGCCCGCCATGAGAGGATGCCAGCTGGGGCACCCATGGCTGGCACACACCCTTTGGGCTCTGTTCCCACCCCAATGTATCATACTGGGAAAAGGAAGAGTGGCATCAACGTCACCTACCCAGTGAGCAGCAGGTCTCTCTGGGGCGGGGCTGGGGCCAGGCTGGTGCCACCATCGATGGGCCACTCCTGGAGGAGGAGACCCAGGAGTCAGTGGGAGAATTTGGCTAAGGCCAAGGTGGGGCGGGGCAGGGCAGGGAGCTCGACCTACCATGGTGGAGAACTGCACATTCTGTTGGCTACCGGCCGCAATGATCCTCTCCCATAGCTTCAGGGGGATATTGGAGACGTGGTGGGAGCAGGTGATGGCAGAGCAGTGGAGGGAGGCCAAGTAGGGCAGCTGCACGGGAGGCCAGCCTGCCGTCTGCAGGTCAATCACCACCAGCTCCTCCTCGGCCAGCACCACCAGAGCATAAGGGTCATCAAAGGCTGGGGATACAAGCCCAGGGTCAGAGGCCAGCAGGACACGGGCCAGCTTTAATGAATCACAAGCTCCAGGGTCGAGCCAGGGAACCTGCAGATACGGAAGCCTTGCTCTCGGTGGCTTGAGCAGAGTCCACCTCCAGGAGGGCGGAGGTATGGGAACAGCCCTGCCTCCGTGTCCAAAACTGCTGAGAGCTAACCAGCACAGAAGTCCCAGGGAGGGACTCACTGGGCTAGAACCAGGGCTCCAGCCAGGTCTAGAAGGCAAGGCCTCAACCAGGAAATGGGCCTCAAAGCCCTGCACTGAGCCTGCTGACTGGTTCTTCCTCCGCTGGCCTGCTCTCCCTGCCTGGGGTAACTGGTCCTGGCTCGCGGACATGCCTGCCTGCTGATACTCTCCAGGTGGGCAGAAGCCAGCATGGCCTTATTGCACACAACAACCTCACTCAGGCCTGGCCTGTTAGGGCCCAACAAATACACACTAGTGACAAAACCTTCATTTCATCTTCTCTTCTTCACCCCTCAGCTCCCTGTGCCTTCCTCCCCAGCCTAGGCTGCCCTCACCAGGCTCCCCTCACCAGGCTCCACCTAGCCATAGGCCCTAGGCCCTTGTCTACCTGAGAAGAAATCCTCTAGGCCACTCTCATGCCTGCTCTAGAGCAGGAGTCCTGCTGACCATCCAGATTCTGCCTGAAACCTCAGCTGGCCACATGCCCCTCATTGTCTCACATGTTCTGCTCAAGAGCCCAGGTACATCAGCCCCAGACCCAGGAAGGCCCTGTGTCAACTGACCCAACCCTACACAGCCTCTTCAGCAAGTGGCTCTACTCTCTGCCTCTACTTCCTCCCTTCCCATTCTTTCTTGAATCCTCTACAACTAGGCCTTTGTCCCCAGCAAAAAACTCTAGTCTAGGTCACCAATAACCCCATTTTGCCACCCTGTAATGGTTAACTGCCTACCCACCTGCACCAGGCTGGACTGCTGAAAATGCCCCTCATGAAGCTGCTGTCCTCACTCTGCCACTCTCAGTCACCCCACTCCATGAACGTTCCTTGGATTTTCCTCACTGGATCCCCATCAACCTCTGTGCCCCTAACCACTTTAGGGTGCCCCCCTGCCTCCCTCACTGCCTGGATGACCTCGTTTATTCCCATGGCTTTCTACCTCTCCGCATGGAGATTCTGAGTGTGCATCCCCCCCAGTTCTCTCGCCTAAATCCAGACACACAAGCCCCAGCTGTCAACTCAACATCTTCCCTATAAGTCTCCCAACTTCATTGCCACCCACTTGTCCCTCCTCAGCCTTCTCCAGGTTTCCTGATGCTCCAGCCCGACACTGCAGCCACCCCTAAGTCACCTCTTCTCTCCACACTCACTTCTACCCAGACAAGGGGTCACCTCACAGCTAGAGTATTTCAGTAAATGAAGCTGTCCTGTGACACAGGTCACCCCTTGGGAGTGTCTTGTCTGTGGCTGCATCTGCTCTGCAACAGCAGGACTATATGTGGTGACAGAGAAGAAATTTGTCACTCAGTCCTCTACAGAAACAAGTGTAGGCCCTGCCTGGGACCTCAGCCAGTGCC